TGATTTACGGAGTCTTGCTCGGATTTACGGTCATTTCCAATATTGTTTTCGCGCTGATGCCGATGAAAGAGATAGCGGACTCGAAATTGGAAACGGTGGAGAAAACAACGCTCAGCACTCAACTCAGTACGCACATATTAGACCTGGCTAGTCGTCACATATCCATTTCAACTTTTTAGTTATCGATCGGGTGGCTTATACACTTGATCGGGTGGCTTAGGCAGATTCGATACCTGTTTCTGGCGGTACTCCTCTTTCGCTCTTGAAACTTGATAATTGGATTTGTTCAATAAGAAGACGAAGATGTGTTATATCTTATAACACTTCACTAGCTAGTAGAAAACCACATTATAAGGCCTGCTATAATTACTTATTTTTAGCACGAGTTCTGAGCTTCTGGCGAAAAAGCTGCAGTAGGCGCTTGATTGACTTGCGTTTGAATGGGTTAGATCCTATGCACTCCATTAGAGCACCACATCCTTTAGAACTGCTCAGTAGCGATGAACTCATTTTGACCCTATCATCTCTGACTTTGAAAGAACCCACCCACCAAGGTAACGTGGCGTAGCGATAACATTGATAAAGCATGCGACGAAAAGTTATACAGTGCGTTTCAAAAGTATGTGCACACCCTCAAAATTCACGTTTGAAAGGGAACCATGAGGTTTCGTGCTATGAAATCCTTCTCAATCGATTTCTCGTAGTCGATAACCTATCAATGGAAGCAAAGCAGATAATATCGCCTCACTTTCGAAAAAAATTTTGGATGAATTTTTTTCTTTGTTTCAAAAGTATGTGCACACTTAACAAAAGACAAAAACATAGCTGAGATTAGAAATCAGTGGGGCCTCCAGAGTTTCTAATTAGCTCAAACATCCTGTCCGGCATAATCTGAACCACGTTTGGCATAGCTGTTTCGTCGCTGTCGGCCCAAATAGCCTCTACCGCCGCCTTCAGTTCATCCGCGGTATTATACTGCCGGTTGCTAAAGTTAACGCCTTGATCAAGGGCTCCCTATAGGGTTGCAGTAAGGAGGACACACAAGCCAATCTATCGCTTCAGCACCATTTGGTTAAGGCCATTCTTTGGTAGATTGCGAAGCATCGAAAGACACGTGGTCCTGTTGCTAAAAATGCAATTTTCGCTCCGCTTCGCTAAGAAAAGGCAACAGGTGACATTGGAGCACTGCTTGGTATTCTTTACTGTTCATACGCAATAATGGAACGGCAACTTCCAACTTCCCGCTGCTTGCGAAACCGCCCCAGACCCACTTTCTCCGAAATTCCATTTACCGCTCTGCGTCCACATTGACCGCTCTGCGTCCATTGACCGCTCTGCGTCCACTGCAAGCGGTCGCCTTGTTCCGCCGCCCCTCATTCGTCTTTCCTTTGGTGGCAACCTACGATTCGAATTTCTGTATTCTTTGCTGTATTCCGCTGGATGCGTAATCGTCTAGCTTCGAATTCACTGATACGATCGCCGGACACCCACTCCGTTGGATCTGCGAGTACCTTAGTGGCAGGGTACGAAAGTAAGAAGAGTGCTGCCACCCCAACAGGTCATTGATTATTGATTTTTTTGTTCGCTGTTCCTTACAGTTCCGATTGGTTTCTGAGATTGCGTTGCTTCTGGTGGCTGGAAGCTAAACTTTCCTTGTTTCCTTGGTCCGATAGCCACCAACTTAGGTTTGATATTCACTTTACCGTCTGATGATGATTTCCGATACACCTGTCTTCCCCTTTAAAGTTCAGGAGGGCACGAAAAAGAAAAGAAGATTGGATTTCGATGTGTCTTCTTCACCCGATTTTGTACGAGCCGCTGATGAACTCACGAAGGATGAAAACATTCCGCTCACGTTCGCACAGTGCTGGCTGTTTTGCTCGATAGCAGAAAGGAGCTTGACGCTATGTCCAGGGAAATCAGAGCGCTAAAAGAAGAAAACTTGGTGCTCCGAAAAGCACTCGATAGCCATCGTTTGTCATCATTTAACAATACCGTTTCGCGCCAGGACAGCGCATCAGCGCCCAGGCCCCCTGATAGAGTTACTCAGCCGTTGTCTTTTGATGATGTAGAGCGTAGGAGATCCATTGTGGTCATAGGTGTACCTGAGAGTAGGAGTAGTAGGAGTTTCGATAGAGTTGTCCATGATCGTCATTGTATTCATCAACTTCTCGATTACCTTTCCGTGGACTGTATTCCCGTTTCATTGTACCGAATGGGCCGCCCAAGCCCTTCTTATAATAGGATTCTCAAAGTTGTTTTGCCAAACTCATTTTTTGCCGGGCTTGTTTTGAGGCGAGCACCTCGCTTGAAATACTTCCCGCTCCAAAAAGGTGTCTTCATAAGGCCTTCCTGGCCAAGGAAGACCGGGAACGGAATCGTATTGAAAGGGAGGCGCGCAACAAAAGGGCTAACGGTAGTAAATCGGTTGTCAACAGTCAGAATTCCACTGTTAACAGTCAAGATGCTTCTCAAGTAGGGCGTAGTAGTTTTGTACCATCTCATAGATTTGGTGATGAAAATAATACTACGAATGTTTCTCCTGATTCTGTTCACTCAGTAAGGTCAAACATGTAAATTCTCCTCGGATGTATGATGCTCGTTTGAAGTGCCTCTTGGCCAACATCCGCTCTCTCTCCAAAAATGTTGGGGATCTCCTATTTCGGATCAGGGATGGGAACTTCAGCTTGGTAGCTCTTACCGAGACATGGTTGTCTGATGTTATTAGTAGTGAGTCCTATTTGCGGAATATTGTAGTCAATACGAGATTCTTAGGTGTGATAGAACGGGTAAACGTGGCGGTGGTGTTGCTCTTGTCGCGAGGAAAAATTTATGTCCATGTATCATACTCAAGGAGTCCCTAGACAACTCGTATGAACTCATAGTAGTTGACTTGGACGTGGCATATTCCAGGATCAGGATTGCATTTAGCCTATAGGGCCCCATCATGTTCTGCGCATATGTTTGAACAGTTAATCAAAGCAATTGGCGATCTGGCATGTAGCGATACTCATTTCCTTTTACTCGGAGACCTGAATCTTCCTGATGTTTTATGGCGTCGGGGAGGAAGTCCCAAAGCCAGCGGGCTACGCGCTTTGCGCTTTATTGAATTGTGTCGTAGTCTTAACCTTCATCAATTAGTTTTTGAAGGTACTCATGGCTCTAACATATTAGATCTCCTCCTTGTCAACAATTTGGAATTTGTTGTGAATACGCAGGTTCTAGCGCCAATCGGCAGTAGTGACCACTCATCAATTCAATTCGAACTCAACATTGGGGTTGATCTCAAAATCAGTACAACATTCAAACGAGATTTCAAGGCCGCAAACTATGACATCAATCATAGAATATCTCAATGATGTAGACTGGTATGCATCCTTCAATAATGTTGACACCGTAAATGACAAATATGAAATGTTTTTAACTATTCTCAACCATGTAATCGAGTTATTCGTTCCCCTTAAAGCACGAAAGATTGGTGTAGACCAGCTTCCACAGCACTTAATCAGGTGTAATCGCAAAAAGAATCTGGCATGGAACAAGGCTATAGCTAGCGGGGATTCAAATTACTGGGATGAATATAAGAGGATTAGTTCCATTTTTGAGAGAAAGTTAAACAAATTCCGCAGTCAAATTGAAAAGAACGTCATCAGTTCCAAGAATAAGAATGCGTTTTATAGATTTCTCAACTCTAGACTGAAGAAAAGCAAAGGTGTAGGTGTTTTGTTCGCCGAGGATGGGAGAGCCGTGCGTCGAGATAGGGATAAAGCCGAACTTTTGGCCTACACATTTGACAAAGTCTATCAAAAGGAGGTTGATCTCCCCGATGTAGAGACTAGTCCCTCATTTCCTGTTATGAGCGATTCCCATTGGTTTCAACGAGAAGAAATATACAAGTTGCTGGCTAGGTGGCCCAAATCTCGTTCGGATACACCGGATCATATTCCGCTTGGTATTCATCAAAAAAATAGCGTTCACTATTTCGGGACCACTGGCGTTTATCTTCAACTTGAGCTTTATGAAGGCTGAAGTACCAGAGCGATGGCGTATGTCGTTTGTAACCCCCATCCCCAAAAAGGCTCCACATTCTTGTCCCTCCAATTACAGACCGGTGAGCATAACTTCCATCTTTGCTAGGTTGTTTGAGAAGGGTTTGAAAAAGAGAATTGTAAGCCATTTGGAGAAGTACGATGTCATTTCTGAGCAGCAGCATGGCTTCCAAAAGGTAAGTCTACTGCGACAGCCATGCTACAAGCGCTCAATGACTGGACATGTTATCTCGATGAGGGGCTAGGAGCGGATGTGGTTTATTTAGACTTCGCTAAGGCGTTCGATAGGGTTTCTCATACCAGGATGGTAGCCAAACTGACACATGTAGGCATTCACCCCAGAATTGTGGTGTGGATTAAGGCCTTTCTTACTGATAGGTCTTACTCTGTTCGAGTCAATGGCGAATTTTCCAAACCCAGACCAGTGCATAGCGGAGTGCCACAAGGGTGTGTCCTATCACCTGTCCTCTTTAATATCTACACTTTTGAGTTACCTCGTTTGGTCAGTTCTAAAGGGGTTAAATGTGTGGCCTTTGCAGATGACTTCAAATTATACTACCCGATTTCATCCGCTCATGATAAAGAGTTGCTACAGGGAGCTATAAATGATGTCAGTAATTGGGCTATGCAATGGGAATTGCCCTTATCTAAGGAGAAGACCAAGGTGTTACGGATTGGGAAAAGTCCCTGTGGATTGTTCATACTCAATCGGAGGGGTCCACTTGGGAGGTGGTGAAGGAAATGAAAGACCTTGGTTTCCTCGTAAGAAGTGATCTCAGTTTTGAAGAACATTGCTCTATAATCGCCTCCAAAGCAACGATTGTAATGTATAATTTATTTCGATCTTTCTTGACGAAAGACCCACGTGTTCTATGCAGTGCTTATAAAATATATATCAGGCCCATACTAGAGTATGGGACTGTAGTTTTTAACCCTCACAAGATAAAAACTGTGAAAGCTCTGGAAAAAGTTCAAAATAGTTTCACGAGAAAGGTTTTTATGAGAACTGTTGGGTTCAGGTATGACAATATACCGAACAGTGATGTACGTAATCTCAACCTCGGTCTTGAGTCACTTGCGCTTAGGAGGAAAAAATTCGACCTTTTGACATTTTTTAAGATCCTTCATTTTAAAACTGGTCTCAAGCCCAACACCTTGTTTGCCTTCGGGAGTCAAGGACGAGGGGTAGTTCAATGAAGGTAGTGGCTCGCAGGGCTAAACGCAACGTCAGGCACCATTTCTTCGTTAACAGGACCTCTCTGGAGTTCGAGAGGCTGGTCAGAATGGGGGTATCTACCAACAAATTCAGTTCCTTCAAAACCGCTTTGGACAAGCATCTTACATCATAGTCCTTGCTCCTCGTTCATACGCTGTGTTCCAATGTGCACTGTTTATGTTTGTCACTTGTTCGTCTACGGATGTTTGTTTTATTTTGTTTTGTTACGTTTTTTTTTCTTGTTTGCAATTCCCACACAGAATTACCTGTGTAATAAACAAATACAAATACAAATACCTCGCCTTCAAATGACCAGAAATTGTGCAATTGCAGAAATTGACGTGGCATTAACGTGGCATCGATTCAAGAACATCTTTGAGCACACGTGATGTCACCTTTTCATCGAGAATTTAGCCACGTGTGCCACGTGGCTTAATGCCACGTCAATTCTGCATTAGCCAAATTTTCCGCGTCATTTGAAGACGACGTGTATAGGGCTTGAGGTCTTTCCTCCATAGTCTTCAGTCATGTTAACCCAATTTTATTAGAGCTCACAAAATCCCAAGGTATCTAACCCGGCCTGCCACTGAATTTTTAGGGCTTCCGTTAGAAACCTCAAGTGCCCAGCCAACCAAAAAACTTTGCATAAGAGTGAGTAACCAATAATAGCATTGGAAAGGAAATGCTGTATTCAAAAACTCTATAGTCGTATCTACTACCTGTGTACAATTACTATTAACCCATTGGCGACAATGCGATTTTTCGCTTGTCTGCCGCGTCGGACCGCGCCTTTTTTGACATTTTCGAAAAATGTGTCATAATGCGGCTAACCACCTGCACCAAAAATGTTGAATCTTGAAGCATGAACTGTTAGAACTTTGCAAGTTTCGTATGATTGCAGACCGCTTCCAAAATGAGCGTAAATCTTTAGGTTTTGCCGAGGGTGTATATTGGAGCATGCCAGAAAAACTTCAAATCTCCACTTTAAAACCCGTAAATGGGGTCGGATCCAGATCTCTCTTTGTGAAATGTTGTAGCATTACTCTAGCTGACTCCAGGCGAAAAGCCAGCCGGATGCATTCAAAAAACAAGCTTTGCCTTGGAAAATCACTTTCAAGTACCGCTCGTGTAAAACATCAACTAAGGAAGATATGCACTGACCATTAATACCGTAAGTATGACAACGCCTTCCTGATTAGTATGCTATAGGAACACTTCTGGAAATCCTGCGGAGAAGAGTTATCTCAATGCTGCGTCCCCACATCGAGCCGCATTGTCCGTCGTGGCAAAAAAAGTGCGTCCCAACATCGACCCGCAATTCCAAACAGGGTAAAGACGTTTCACGATGAAAAATCAACCCATTTCAAATTAGCCTAGGGATGGTGAGTGGTACACGAAAGAAGGAAGAACCATGAGAAACGGCCCACAAGTCGAGAAATGGTACCCCCTCCTCGCCCGTTGATTCGAGCATTGATGCGACTCTCATCGTCGCTAGCCCTCTTCAAACATACAGCTCTCTCAGCTACAATGACGCATGATAGGTTGCCGAGGTCAAATTTTTCCATGCGAATTGCGCGTCAGTTCGCATCCCAGGAGGTCCGTGCGTCCCTCAACTAGGGCAGCTTCCCTTTCTTTGACCTTCATGCTAATCGTAAATTCCTCCTTTAAGTTGGATGATAATTTCACTGCTGACCCAAGAGCCATTTTGAGAAATCCCGCTTCATTATGCTTTTTGAATTGCAGTAGGCATACGGTGCTGCGAAGAACGCGATGATTATGCAAATCTAACAGAACGGTTTAGACTGAAGCTCGATTGTACTATATGCGGTAATAGCTTTTCAATCAAATAAACATCGAAACAAAAACGCGTAAATTATCTGTATCTAATGTGGTTACGCTCCAGATCAATACTTAATCATGGGCCGGCCGCGGGAATGCGGCCCGAGTCGATCGTGCCGCGGAACCGTTGGAAACGACTCGAGCTGGCCCGCCGAAATCCTTTCATGCTGATCATTCGCGGCACTACCAAAATCTGCGCGTCCCGCGGCCGCGCCAAAGGGTTAATGATTTGTCTGGGGGCGCTGTATAAATTTGAGAACCAACTACATTACAAAATATTATCAAGCAAGTCCTACGTGAGTGTCAATTGTAGGTGTAGCTTCAACATATTAACGAGTTCATATGGTAGTATCGGCATCCCTAGCAGGGTGAAAATCGCTTGAGGAAAAGACAACGGCTCGTCGAGGATTTCTTTCACGCTCTCCCACGCGGATGCTCACTCTCGCCACCCGAGCCGTCTGTGCTCTCCGCGCATTCATTCACTCTCGACACTACTCTCGCACAGTAGAGAGCCATGGTCGAGGAATTCCTCGACCGTTATTCACCCTGATCTTACCATTAGTGAGTTCCTGAAACTCTGCCTTTAGAGATATGTAACTAGATGTTCTGATCACGATTATGACATTCACTTTCGAAACAGTGGTGATCTGACGCCACTATGGTACCGCAGTTCCATAGTGGCGTCAGATCGCGTTTTTGCTGCATTTCTTGCCAACTTCGAGTGCTAGCAGCTTGCCTAGAAAGTTGACGCAGTCCTATCTCTAAATAACTTACTTCACTTTAAAGAGTTGCCTGGTTTTCCATCCAAAGCACCTCCCAAGTCTTATTGTCCAGAAGTTACCCTTTCAATTGGATCGACAAAGGATCACCGGGTGTGAGAAGTACACAGAATATGTAAACAACATACGGAGGAGTCTGCGCATTGAAGCAGACTACAGAAGTGTGCAAACGGGAGGTTCAAAAGCTTTCACCTGAACTTGACCCTGTTCCCTGCTTGGTCAAACGTATCACTAAGAACTAAATGGGAGAATGATAGCATCACTACAGAAGTGGAAAAATACTGTTTGCGGCTACGTCGACCTTCAGTGGATCGCCTAGATTGTGGTTTCTTACGAATGAAAGTTCCTACGCTTCACGGTAATTTACGACCGCATGTTGCGAGGATAGGTAAGGGGATTGTTCCAAAACTTGCCACATTGTTCTGTCCCATTCATTGCATTTGCCGAGCCTACCAAAAGTACCCCTGTTCGTTCGCAAACTTATCTCTGGTAAGATAAGAAATACGATTATCCCATGTATGAAAGTGGACTCTCAACACTTCTTGGATTCGAAC